TGCGCGGTGCGTGTGCGCGGTGCGTGCGTGTGCGTGGTGCATGTGCACGGTGTGTGTGCGTGCACGGTGCGTGTGCGTGCTGCTGCTGCATGGTACAGAGAAAAGCCCAGCAGCGTTGTGACTTTGATGCGATGGAATTTTTCCCTTTCTCTTTTGTACAAATGAAATGCTAATTTAATGGACTGTTGCTCACAGATTTATAACTTATTCTTCGGAACATGATTAAAAAATAATGAACTTTTATATTAACTTAAATGATCAATTATATATTAATGTGTCAGACCAAAGACTTAGTTATCTTAGAAAGATTTGTTATCTGGCATGTTGGAAAGAATTAAGAATTCTGGTTAATAAATTCTTATAAACTAAAAGTCACACTGTGGGACTTCCTGAGCCCTGGAGAAATCTTAATGCTGGTGGAAAGAAGCAGCCGTGGGCAGACGCTCTGGGTGCCGGGGGCGCGGTGGGGCGGAGTGTCCCACAAATCTTAGCATAGTCCATTTCCCTGTGAAATAAAATTGGGGATTGTAAAAATACGTTTTTTCAAGGTTTTACTTTTGCACACAAGAGCCGGGGTGCAGGCCATAGGTGTGGGATGAGAGGATCCCCCCAGAGACAGTGGGGAGCAGGACAGGCGGATCCACTGAGACCCATTGCTGAGGGAGCAGCGGGGACGCAGGAGGGTCTGCTGTGCCCTGGGGTCACTTGCTGGCCACGGGTGGACTCAGGCCGCAGTGGCTGCCATAGCTTGATAACGCTGAGACTTGAACCTCTGCGCCACCAGGGAGGCCCCCACGTTTTTGTTTCAGTGAAGATCACTACACAGTAGTAGGTTTCACTAACTAGTTCTGTTTTCTTAGTGAGAGCGGAGATAAAAAGCAGAACTTAGAGACTGGCTCGAGAGCGTCACATGTCACCGCGTGTTGACTTAATACTCTGAGCGGCCAGGCCGTGTCAGTTGACAGGACCTGAATACACACCAAGCTTGATCTGATTAACTTGGGTGACCCCCAAAGGGGGCCAGGGACTGTGGCCCTGAAACGCCAGGTTGCAGCCCGCCCCAGTGTCGGGGAGGCTGTTTCCCAGCCGGGTAGTCGCCGGGTGGCAGAGGAAACAAGACAGGCTCCACCTAGGGAAAACAACGACGCTTCCAGATACCCGAAGTTTAGAAAATACTGGATAGAACGTGAATTAGAGAGTACGTGCAGGCCAGGCCAGACAGCCCCTAGCAGGCCCCTAGGGCGCCCTGCCCTGGGCTTCACGGTTTCCTGCTCCCACCTGGGGTGTCCTTAGAACATTCTCTGGAACATTCTCTACTTAGCAATCCCCGTGGGTAGTCATGAGGCTGCGTTTCCATGATTCTTCAAGCAGAGTTACAGGTTGGTGCATCTCTTGCTACTGAAGGCAGCCCATGCCACCTTCCCTCGGGAGGACAGCGTCCTCACACCTCACAGGTAGTCTTGCTTATTTCTAAGTCGTAATATATTCATCCGAGGAAAAAACCAGAAAGATAAAATGCAGAGTCAGACACGCGTCGTAGGCCGCTGTACGGTGGCCCGGGAGCGGCCCGGCGGACGCCTCTGTGCGGTCAGCCCGGGAGCGGCCCGTCTGATGCAGGCCGCTGCCGAAGAGCCAGGCCCGGCCTTGTGGATGGACTAACCCTACAGCGTCAGCCGGAGCATGCGGAGAGGGCACGTCCCAGAGCAGCTCCGTCCCCGGGCCACGTCCCCATCTGCCGAGCACGCGGAGAGGGCACGTCCCAGAGCAGCTCCGTCCC